TTACAATTCCAAGTTGTGATTTTCAGCAGATTTGACATAAATGCCAAGGATGCAAATACAAACAAATTGCTATATTCAAATATAAATGACTAATCTCTCATGTATTCATTTCACTAAACCTGATGATTGATGGCTGTCATAACAAAATCTCGTTGTAGGATCCACAGTTTGTACTTTCTTACAAAACTGAGAAAACCACTTGCCTGGGCTTCAATTCAATTCTCTATTGAACCCTAAATTTGACAATTTATGATCGTCATCATAACATTATCCAGTTGCCGCTCGGGAAATAACCATTTATTTCGAGCATGTACATGGCAAAATCTCATATAACAATTAGTGCAGAATAAAACAATAAAAAACAAAATCAGAAACTTAAAGACAAGATATCCCAAAGTTAACATTATCCCGTCCAGCAGGAATATGTTTCTTGATAGACTAAAATCATCATAATCTTATGATGCAATTTCCACAATACACAAACAGAAAAACATGCGATATACTTTTATGCTTTTCGCATCCTCAAAAGATACAACTTGCTCACTGTAAGTAATATTTAAAATTATTAGCCATTTGATTCCTCTTTAAGTCATAGCAAAATTATTCTCAAACCCTGGTTTATGAGGCCGAGTCTTAAAATAAAACTGCACTAATTCTACATAATACCGAGTAATTCCAACTAATGTTACTGTCAGTGCACGTGGGCTAACTGATACCTATGATTCAACTTAGATGCGATATCCAAGGATAAATACCAGTTATTCTACCCCACTGCTTTACATGTGGATCATTTGTTACCTATGATTCAACTTAGATGCGATATCCAAGAATAAGTAACAACCACACAACCTCATCTAAAACAACATTGAACTATTCTTCTAGCTAACTTATCAACTTAGATGCAATATCCAAGAACACATGACAAGAAGCCTAGTTCAAATCTCATAACTTAACAACAATGAATTCTCTTCGTCTAGCTAACTTATCAACTTAGATGCAATATCCAAGAACGCATGACAAGAAACCGACTTCACTTTTCATCATTTAAGTACCATATAACTGCCAGGCCTTACTACACGAATGGAATATGAAATTCCATCATAATTTCGCAATTACAAACTACCCCCTCCATTTTCATGGAATTTCATATCTCTTAATAAAACCAGATAAAACGATCCCTATGTGTATTTTCGACAAGCACACGTTTAATTACTGTAAAACATAAATTGTCTTCAGAAATCTCATTTTAAAAGTTACTTTTTCAATCTTCTCATTATCTTAAATGCTTACTTCTTATTGTTCACTCTTAATTGTTTACTTCTAATTACTTATTTCTAATTGTTTACTTCTTATTGTTACTTCTAATTGCCCGGGCAACCACATATTACAAAAATGACAAATCTCATTCATCCATTCAGCGACACAAAACAAACATGCATTCTTGCCAAATACGGATGTTTGACTCTTTCTATGCATAATTAATAAAGAAAAATGTTCTTCAATACTACAAAATGGTCCTGTTTTCATACTTGAAAGGCTTTACCTCCCCTGAACAATTCTTTTGCAAGTCATGTTTTCATCCACTAGCCATTAAAATATACCTATGCAATTCCATTAAGAGTTTGAAATAAAGGCTTTATCAAAATATAAAAATATCTCATGTTTGCAGCAGCGTATACGTTATTAACTTTTACTTAACTCTGTATTATGTACCTTTTCGCTTTTAAATAATCACGAGATAAACAATGCTCATGCAGCACACATTTAACTAACTTACTACTAACCGACTATCTACCTAACTACCTAACTAACCAACTAGCTAACTAAATATGTTCCCTTTATATTTACTTATACCAGAGACATATAAAATGTTTTATAGGTCTCTGCTTATACACACTATATACATTCTTTGACTAAACAATCAATTAATCCCATCCATATCTTGTAGGCGCTCTTCTATTTCTTACATTTCAATATTGAAGCAAGACTACGCCTTAATAAACCATCCGACGATTTCTTTTCTTCATTTTGATTTTCAGGTGAAACCCTGATTTTGCCATCTGTGTCTTTCTCGTCATGGAGACTTACATTTTTATCTGACCAAATCAAATCAAAGTTTTCATTATTTTCGTCTTTCTCATCTTCATTTTCCCCGACGGCACCTAACACGACAGAACACCCATTTTCACATTGATCCTTCCCCTCCATATTCACAAGGTATCAACTTCTATTTATGAATGAGCTATAATCTATACGTAATATCAAAACACAAACAGAATCTGGTACGCTTTTATCATCAATACAGGGATTTTTACAAAATACAAAGACCAAAAACTAGATCTCGAACATTCAAATCAAATATTCTCAATTCATAATTTCGTCTAACACCAATTCGGGACAATCTTAACACTATAGCCACAGCCAAACAAATAGATACGCGCTCGATTTTGCCAATTTTAAAGCAATGCGTCTTAGCATGCACAATTGTAGAATAAAGGATAGAAAGAAAGTAAAAGAAAGTGTTTTTGAAGTAACTAAAACAGGAGCCTGTTACATGAGCTTTTTTTGTTGATAGCAAATACAGAAATTAGTACAACGCTGAAATGCAAGCGTTTTCGTATTTCAATTTTAAAAGTAACTACAACGGGAGCCCGTCTTCATTACTAAATGATGATTCCCTTAACAATAGCACGTGTAAACATCAAATATTCTTGACTCTTTGTCTTCTTTTTGTTCACAAGATCAAGGTAAAGTTACGCATAAATTAACTGAGCGTACACAAACGCAAGATCATTATCAGTCTTTTAAAGGCCGAGTTCCGGGAAATATTAACACAATTGAACATGTTGATTAACTAATATACATACTTTTTGTGGCTTGGTTGAATGGCTATTAATCCCAAGTTCCGATATGCCTCATCAAGAAGACGATAGAGTGACAAAGATTATGTCAAGCGGAGTTTATAATTTTTGTGCAAATTTTCTTCTTGGATCGAAAAATTTCATTTTAATTCGATTAACTTACGATAGGTGGCAAAAGGTCTAAAGGAAGGTCACGTGACACAAAACAACGAATCATATGACACGAAACAATGATTCATTCGCCAGATGGCGCACTTAAATGAGGTCAATTTTACGACAAACGAAAACCGTTTAGCTCAGCTTCAATTTTGCTCTCGCAGTCGAACGAAACTGACACTTCTTTCGTTGATATCTAGGTGAGTGATTTTTTTCAGGCTCCGGTATTTTGACAAAAGTAAGTTCACGTCGTAGCCATTCTTAGGGGCATGTTTGAGGCACCAATGATTTATTTTGAAGTTTTTCTAAGGAATTATTCCCGATTTCCGGTATTGCCCCTTTAAGTGAAGATCGTCAACTTAAATGCATGCATAAACAAACATTGTGCATAAAGACAAAGTTAATACTTAATAGTACAGTGAAGACAAATACTCTTCATTCAAAGTAAACTGAATATGAAGACAAAATCGTAAAGAAAGAGTTGAAGAGAACTAATCTTCACTCTTCAGTATAGAATGAACCTAACTTAAAAGAAAGAAACGAAGAGAACTAATCTCCGCTCTTTTGTAAGAGTAAAGCTAGATTGAAGATGCGAAGAGAACTAATCTCCACTCTTCAGTAAAAGTTAATCAAATTTAAAGATGTGAAGAGAACTAATCTCCACTCTTTAATGAAAATAAAAACACTAAAACTGCGAAAAGAATCTCTTTACAAGACAAAAACAGATCCCACCGCTGCCACCAATGAAGCTTCGAGCTTTGTTGTTTAAATAGCTCTGTGGGTTCTTCATAAAATAATATGGATTGGTCTTGTAATGTAAAAAAGACAAGATTAACACAGAATTAATATACTCATAAAACTATACTTTATTCCAAGTAAAAGACTAAACATGTACAATTACACTCTTCAGTATAAAATAAAACTGTTCAAAGATAAAGAAAGAATGAAAATGAAATTAATAAGATGAAAAGAAATGATGTGTGATGTTCCCCCCGATCTAACTCTCTACTGAATGAAGCCCAAAATTTCTCTTAAATACCCCCAAGTTATAGGAAATGAAAGGCAATCCCTTACCCTACAAAACCTATAAGAAACCCATTGAAAGATGGCAGCACAATACGGTGAATCAACATGAAAAATGCTATAGTACATATTAACATTAACATAATATACCCTTGTTGAAATCCTCATTTCCTCAACAGAAAATTGGTTGATTGTATTCAACAAATATCAAATCCCATTTCTGCTGAAAACAACAACTCTGACTATTTTTGTAGCATTGTGGGATCATTGCAATAAATAACCCCAGCATCAGCCTATGTGGGTCCAAACGCTTAAATATTTTCCAAAGTATTATGTGACATTGTATTCTTTATGTTACACCTAAAAATAATTCATTCTGACCATGGGAATATTTGCCCATAATTGCGCCTGGTCCTTTGGAAAGTTTGATTTGGAAAGATTCAGGCGTCCATTTTGTATCCATTTTTATGGTATTGACATTATTCATGCTGAACGTAGAAAATGCAACTTGGATGGTCTCTTAAAAAGAGTTATAGATACAATTACACGGGTACTAACCAGACTGCAACATACCAGGAGCATTTGAGCTAATATCATGATATTTGGTTAATTAAAGAGAGAATCAGATATAGCGAGCAGGCTAAACAAAAAATTGTTTCAATTTTAGAATATTTTTGGCTCATGTCATTCCTTGTCATGACTATTTTCTAAAACTCACAAAAGTGCATACTTTATTCCAGGAATACTAAAGATTTTTACAATAATGTATTATTTCTCTATAAGAATGTTTACCATTCTTATTATTTGGGAGAATTTAAACATTTTCACCCATTTTTGCACTTTGAATCATTAATAACTTCACCAATTTACAACATATTGTGAATCTTTTGGGAAATATTGTATTTGATATTGTAAGGAATAGATTGGTAGGTCAATTATACATGTTGCTTGTAATTTTGTCACCCCCTATAGATCAGATTCTGCCTTTAAACCCGACACCTACGTATTTTCACTTTGTCTTGAATTTGAAATGACACACGGGTGGAAATAACAACTTTGTCAAAAATATAACCCTGAACTTGTAAATTAAATAGAAGTGCCAATGCAACATATAAATTACAACATGCAACACAGTAGTTTCGATGATTTTGGTACATGTTCTCATTTTCTTACGTTATCCTAGCTAAAATCGTGGAATGTGTATCACCTTTGACATTAAGGTTTACTTTATCCGGCCCACCCTGAGCTGTATATCAAAGACTTAAATTATACATCCCTTTTGTCAGATCTCTTAAATATAATATATTTTGACTGTGGCCGAACTCACTATTTACCCGAATTAGTAAGATTAACAATGGTAATCCCTTCACCTTGCCCAATGTAAAAGTCATAGTGAATATCAATAGCTCATTTTGACGATTGACCTTTACGTCATGAATACATACTCTACCCCATAGTCAGCGAGGTTATAAGTCCTAACCGTCGATGGTCTCATCTAAACTTGCAGGAATTATTGCTTCCGTGAAAGATATTGCCAGGAGTTCCTCTGGAGTTTCAACGTGAGGGTACTCATTAACAGCCCACAACAAGTATACAAGGAATTCGTTCCAATCTATCTGCCCGTTTTCGTCCATGTCCAAGGCCTTCAAAGCTTTTCTAGTATCCTCGGCTCTGTAGGAAGAGAAATACTGAGCCATAAAGCCGTGGTAGAACGAATCAAAGTGAAGCATATCATCACCCACTTCTTCCTCTCGACTATCCAATTCATCCCAAATTTTACGGATTTCCCCTATAAGATATTTTCCATGTGGTCCTGTCTTGTAACCAGCCGTTATCTGGTCACGCATTGCTTCTGTCATAGACCCGCCCGCTCGATCAAACAACACGGCCAATCCAAACTTGCTCATATACTCTAATCTCCTACAACAAAAGTTCAATGAAAAACTAACCAAATGCATTCGTTTTAATTCATCAGGTGAATTAGGTTCTTGATCTACAAATTGCCAATAACACTGGTGTCTCATAACTGTTTTCATTATAGATGGAGGCAGTATCCCTGGCAGATGCCTCGCTTCAGTTTAATATAAAGTTTGATACAAGGCTTTAACATGACAAAATGTCATAAACTTGTGGTTATTGCAAATTTGTACAGACGAAAAACGTCAACCTCCAACCGCCGAACGGCGCAGAAAAAAGTTGGATCACGATACCGTAGCCAAAACGGTACCGTATCGTACTATTGGAGATTGGGTCTGTATGTCACCAATTTTGGAGATGACGTAATCTGGTAATATACCATCCATTGTTGAAAATATGTAAATGTGTCGATATTTGCATCATGATAAATCATGACATCTCATTTCTTCTCAGCCCTGAGATGTTTCAGGTGAAACAGAAAGATGCTATGAGCATCAGAATGCGATATTTGTGATACTGACCTAGCCCATTAACCCAATGTTTATAAACGAGGAACCAAATCTCAAGTGGGAATATTCAGAATTCTAAATGTTTCATGACCTCTTTTCATGTAGAGTAAAACATTTTCATAACCAATAGCAAGAATGTAAATTATTTGGATCTACAGGGTGGGCCAAAAACAACCACGCAAATTGGTGAGATGCTTTCCGTCTATGCAAGCGCTTGCGCCAAATTACCCCAAGTCCAAGATCAGAAATAATAAATTCATCATTATTTGGAAAAATATCATCAGATGAAGATGGGTAGATAGGATACATTGCAATCCTAAAATAATTGAAACGAATGGCAGAAGACAGAAATGCAAGATTCTGAAGTTACCGTTAATGTCAATGTTTGAGGGTTGCATCTTGTGTCACCCTGTACCATGATGTTGTTCTCAAATTATGAGGAATAATGTTGTACTGTATAAAAGTTCAGATACTATCGTCTCCAAAAATTGATGACTCAAACACAACTACCCCGTGGCCTGGATCGTGGAATAAAATATTAAAATGTACCGAAAACGAAAAGGGTAAAAGGGAAGGAGGTCCTCTCAAATTATGGTCCTACTCTCCATTGATTTATATGGTGACCAAAATACAACTCTTTCCCTCATTATCTTATACACAATTAGGGCCAGTAAGGGCCGTTAAGAAAGGGGACCTTAATCCCCGGGGACCATCATTTCTTTCACACCGGGCTTACTTGTTTGATCGAAGATCTTCAAGGATAAGTTCCTTCATCCGGACAGCTATTTCCAAATTGAACTGAGTATCATCACCAAACAACTGGATTAATCTGGTGCGAATCATCTCGGGAGACGACATTGTTGTTATTCGAACAGGAGCCTCCACACCAAAGAAATCAGCCAAATGCAATTCATCTTTGTTAAGATTAAAAACATAATCCAGAGCTCTTCGCCCAAACACCGGTTGCTTGTCATGAGGGTGTTTCCCTGTGGAGATCTTCGTCACTTCTATGGCTGCTTTGCGAAGATACTGACAGTTGTATTGCTTTAACACCTTTTTGTTGCCGAGACGAATCATATTCAAAAGAGTAACGCAGGAGGACGCTTGACCCATAGACGCTCCTTCTCCACACACGCTTGCCCAAACTCCATCGCATCCATCGATTAGGCACTATGATATAGGCAAACAATACGGCATGCATTTTTATCCCAGTCGCAATATTGGTCCACAATTGGATTGGACCACAAAATATTGGAAGTTTGATATTAGCTACATTTTTATCGATATCTTTACTCTTTCATATTTTCCTGACATTTGTCAACGACAATGACCAAATTGTATCATTAAACTTAATTTCCTGTGGTCTAAATATACTACATAAAAACTACTTGAAAAAAACAAGTAATTATTGACTAATTTAAAAACATTATTCGATGACCCTAAAGTTACCTCGAGAGCTGTGGCATCACAATAGCCATACTTCTCATGTACATGTACAAGCAGACGTCCCTTATAATCGAAATCATCCATAATGTTACGAATGGCCCGCGCCCATTGACCACACTCCTCTGGCATAGACTTCCCAGATTCTTCAAATGCTAAACCAAATGGACGTTTTTGAGTGGGCATCTTTGAAATGGATTTAACAAACTTACACACTCGCCAAGGATACTTATCCATCACTTCTCCTATATCCCGAATGTTGATTAAAACCTTTGCGTTTGGATGCAGATTATCGTAACACCAGTTAATCCACTTTTTGGTTAGTTGACACATTTCCTTCACAGAAAAACAGTCGAAGTCATACGTAGAGTCACCAAGATCCATCTCAAAGAATACATTCCGTACCCCGGCTTCTTTGATTTTTAGGAGTCCAACTGGAACATTTTCGGTATCAGGAGTGCGATCATTCTTTGCTCCTTATAATTGCAAGAATACGATTGATATAAATTGTTCTGTAGTGCATACAGATTACAGAGGTATAACTTTTAAACTTCATTCTCATCTGCTCCATAACGTAAAAAAGATGCTATCTCTAGACCAATACCATTCAGTCAGGGGAACTACTAGGGCAATATTCTCTGCATGGTATGCAAGGCTCATTGAGAGAACTCTATTGAGAAAATATCGGAAATAAACCAAATAGGTTCTTACCATCAGTAACCTCTGAAAAAGCCCATAAATATTCGGGGTCTTCGCCTTCATCTATCAGCATCTTCATCCATTTATCATCTACCCGCGTCATGTGCGAAAACGAGGCTATGATGGTATTCTTGAAACCGCATTTCTTCACTTCATTGAATATGGCGCGTTTGCTTTCAATCGAATGCCCTCTCAGTTGTCCAACTGTACTCTCTCGCATAGAATTGTCCAGAATAAATATGTCCATATCTTTAAGGGCTTCGTACTTGTTCAGCTTTTTAATCACTGCATTGTTGTATTCATCAACATAATGCTGTACTCCTTTCGTTGCCGCCATTACGGTACTTTAGAACAGCAAAAATACTTATCAACAATACTTGATCAAGACACTCTGAATGAGATCAAAAACATTTGGTCTTTGAGCTGGTATTATTTTTGCTTCTTTATTCGTTAAATTCAAATATATTCGATATATGGAATATTTACATTCGCTAAATCAATTTTCTGTTCGGTAAAAACATTTATATATTTGTTACAGCGAATTAAGTTTTCAAAATAGCCAATGGATTAAATCCCTTATTACTATGTGCATTAAATTACATATCTTATTCACTAAATGATATATGTTTTGCGTAAACTGTTATGGTATTCCTTAAGAGTAATACATATATGTGTAGTACCGAATTTATATTTGAACTCTTACCGAAATAAGTTTGTCTATATTTACCAAATGATTTATTTTTCAATAACATAGTTAATGCTTTTTACCGAAAGCTAATTTGCTATTTACCGAATGCAATAATTAAAATTAAAGCATTATTCGATAAGTTTCGTTGTTGTTCGATATTTTGTCACATGACCTCGAGTTTTGCAAAATGGCCGCGCAGCTATTCAACATTGTTTTCATATATCACGTGACTGAAAGTCTCGTAAAGTATCGAAAAATAACGAAAATAATCGAATGTGGCATTCGGTATTTACCGAATATAAATAAGTTAAAAAGCGAATGTATATATAATCAATTGAATTATACGTGCGCTAAGGAAAACAATTTGAATCGCTGCATCACACAAATACATGTATAGATATCAAAAGTAAATGCCAACACAAAGAACAAGTGAAACTGTTCAGCGAATATAAATTGTATCGATTATTATATTCGATAGAATAAAAAACATTCGATAGATTGGGTAAAGGTTTGGTAAATTGTTTGTTTTATTTGGTATGTATGGAATATTTAATGTACCGAATAAAGAAGCAGTTTAAACACCATACTATGTGGTGGCCTATTTTTATTTTTGGGAGAGCCACTCATTAAAAGTTCTCTGCAACATGACGTCTAATCAAGATCATTGAATAAATGAACATCGAACATCAGTTTGCTCAACTTTTATCATCCTCGTGTTGTACCGTACCCCCGCGCGTTCAACTGTCAAATAATTTGGTACGTACCCTGTGCTAAGTTCGTGTTCGTTAAAAGTTTGTATTGTTGATGCTTGAGAAAAAACATTTGGCGACACGAATGACCCCATGTGGAATGACCGAAAGGATACATTGATTGAAAATAACATTGTAAGGATTCTCATTGGATGTAATGAAATTTAAAAATGCCTCACAATCTTGATTTAAGATTGTAATGAAATCGACTTTGAAATGGCATATAAAAACTGACAGTATATTTCAAAATGTAAGTACTCTCCTAATCATCTATGTCATGTAAAGTAAAAAAAAGCTTGTACGGTTTGTTTCATTACAATAAATTACAGTTTCGATATGGTGAACTTTTTGAAAACAAGCCAATCAGCAAAAAAAATTGAAAAATTTACACATCGTCAATTCAATTTGAATGGTAACAGTATGATTTTAAAAAACTGTATTTTTTCTCTATTTTGTTTTAGAAAAGATAAAGGAAATGGCATCTTCGTTCTCTCGGTTCCAGTCGCAGTGAAGACCGAGCGTGCGAAGATGGGAAATGATGTATATGCTATTTTGTTCCAATAAGGTTCGGAAAGATATTTTATTTCATTTCACGACTGTGTTTTTTACAGAATGTTTTCAATAACTGGTTTCAGAGAAATTTTTTTTTTAATTCAGTTCACCATATCGATACCTATCATTTTGACTATTCTTAAAGGTGCAATAATTGGTGCAAAGGAGTCATTCAACGATCATGGACCAGTGTCAAAATATATTTAAGTTTGGATATTTCATCAAGACTAACATCTATTTTTATCATCTACAAAGAAACCCCCTAGATAAACATTATTTTAGCTGGTATTCCTCTTGAAGCATGGTGGATCTAAAAAATATAAAAGTGGAAGTCCCCTTTTTGAAGCTTTGAAAAGAATTTACACTTCTTAATGCTGAAATTGATAATTTATCCATACATTTTAAGAAAATAGGTATGTCAAAGAAGATGTTAAACCAAATGTTGCCTTGATAGCTCAGAAAAAATGAAAAAACGTTCCTATTTTCTCTACAGTCCTTATTGCCCCTTTAAATCGTGACACTATTGACCGAAAGTCAATCTGATCTGATCCCGATATGGCCTTACGTGACATATACGATATTCTAACTGTAATATATAGTGAGATTCATAAACAACTTTGTCTCTGAAAATAAGCAATGGGGTCTTAACTTTTGTAGAGATATTTTTATTTATAAGGTAATTCATCTTACCTTCGCCAATTAGAGTCTCTGGATTACTTTGTCTTTTGTAAATAGTTTTCACAACTAAAGTTTGCGAATCTCAAATTTTGTCTTCCGGAATTCAGTCATAAATTACGTCAATATAGCGTGCAAACTTACCGGATGTCCAAACGTCTCGGGAACACATAGGTACTCGAATGATCTTGATTGGACATCGTGGTGCAGATAAATCATACTTTTACTGAGTGGCTCTTCCAGAAATAAAAATCATTATAAGCTACCTTAAAGTTTTGGTATTAATTGTTACCTGCTAGAATCCTAGTTACTAAGTATGTAAAAATGCTAATTAAAAGAAGTCTAAACTCCAAGGAAATCCTCATGAATCGTTTACATTCTTCTGATTCTAACCTTATTCTAACCCCCTATCACACCAAACTAGTTCTTACCCGTTCTTGCCAGTCCTACGAAAACGTCGTAAAACGAGCTCAATCTGGCTGTGGTCGGGAAATATGTCTGAAATAATTAGCTTCTTCGTTCTTAAACAGTCTTCAATAAGTCCATCTCGTTCGCAGCTCGTCCAGGTCGCACCACGTCGGTGTGCAACGTCGTATAACGCGTCCCTTAGTCTAGAAGGTCAACATGACCTGATTACAGAACGGTATGGTCGCCATCGAATTTTGAATCGATTCAAAATTCTAAAATCACATTCCCGTCTGAGAACGTTCAGAAAGTTCGTAAATAGACCTTAGAAAGTTGCAGCTACGTTCATTCCGTTCGCACACAGTTTAAAACCAGTTTTGAAGAACGCAGTGGCAACGTGCTTGGTGTGATAGCTATATTTTTGCTAACTCGTTCATAAGCAGTATTAAATACGTTCTTAATCAGTTTAAACCCGTTTGCAATTAGTTCTACCTCGTTCTCAACACGTCCTCAGACAGTTCAACTCGTTGTTAAAACGTCCCTAGCGGTAGGATTGAAGTACGATGGTTCCGTTCGTAGTACGTCCAGCTCGTCGTTAGTACGTTGTCACTCGTTCTAATTGTAGAACGTGACGACCATGAGGACATTTTGAGCATTGTCTTAGTTCTAGAGCTACCCGTTCGAGTACGTTCGATGAAGTTTGTAAATAGATTCCAAACGGTTCATAGTAGGTCCAGTCCGTTCGTACACAGTTGGAGCCCGTTTTCGAGAACGTAGTGAGAACTAGTTTGGTGTGATAGTAGAGTAACCCCCCAATCGCACCAAACTAGTTCTTACCCGATCTTGCCATTCCTACGAAAACTTCATAAAACGGACTCAATCTGTTGTCGGGAAATATGTCTAAAATAATTAGCTACTTCGTTCATAAACAGTCTTCAATGCGTCCATCTCATTCGCAGTTCGTTCAGATCGCACCACGTCGGTGTGCAACGTCGTATAACGCGTCCCTTAGTCTAGAAGGTCACCATGACCTGATCGAATTTTGATTCGAGTCAAAATTTTAAGTCACATGAAGTTCGTAAACAGACCGTAGAACGTTGTAGCTACGTTCATTCAATTCGCACACAGTTTAAAACCGATTCGGCAACGTTTTGAAGAACGCAGTGACAACTGGTTCTGGTGTGATAGCTATTTTTGTTTTTAGGTTTAAAGTTTTTTATTATCATTTAAACAAAACAAATTACAAACACAGCAAGGGCCGAAGCAATGCATTATTGGCCCTGGTAGTCAAGAATTTATATAATGTAAAGTGAAGTTGCAATGAGATTTAAGGATCAACTCGGTAATGCAGAACAGTATATAAAAATAAAAGCTTACTCATTTAAAATAGTAACAATTAGCTATTTCAACAGTTTTCTGATTTGTCAGATACGATAATGAGCAATCACCGTATAACAAATAATTTACCCTGTCTTGCTGTCTGAGTTGACCAAACACGGTTAAATCAAAGGATGGCAGTTCCCCAAGTTCTTCCAAAAACAAGTTTCGCTGAACAATGAATAGAGGGCAGTGTAATAATAGGTGCATTGTAGACTGTGATCTAAAGCCACAATTACAACTTGGGGGTATCAATGTTTCTAAAATTATGTGTGAATAAATGCTGCCTAAAAATAAAGTCACATCGAGTCTTATTCAAAGTTGATTCTGTCTTCCTATCAAGATGCAATTTTGGAGTAGGTAGCTTTATTTTAGAATTTTGAATATGTTTCCTCAGGTTAAACTTAAAACAATTTCTAGATTGGATAGCTTTCAAATCACCAGGCAGTTTCTCCCATGCTGTTATACAAGATATCACTGTACCCTTTCTAATCTTGGCCTTACAGTGAGCTGGTATTCTGAAAGATCTGACTCTGCGTAACCGATTTCCATTATTCATTACATTATGATTTCTATATAAAGAAAAGGCCTGGTTTACATAGGAAGGCATTTTGTTGTTATTTATGACGTCATAAGTAAACAATAGTTTCTTTTCATCCCTCCTGGCCCCTAGGGACCTCCAACCTAAGCATGAGGTGACTTTGGTTGCATTTGTACCTTGGGTACATCCACTGACAATCAATGCTGCCCTATACTGAATACTATCCAATTTAGAAAGTAAATTTAAGTTTGCACAATCAAAAATGATATTCCCATATTCTAAGTGAGGTAGTATAAATGCCATATAAATCTTCTCTAGATGTTGTGATCTTAAGTTATGTTTTAGTGCCATAAGTGGGTTCAACATCCTGTTACATTTAACAATTATACTGTTAATGTGTTCTTCAA